AGTGCATCTTAAAGCTACGGATGGCAAGCACTATCTTAAAGAGGCAAGTCCCTGTCATTCTCACATATGTGGGAGAGGATGTCTACTGTTTCACATGCATGTGCTATCTAGAAACAAGCAAAAAACAGCATACATTTTGCTTTAAAAACCAGCCTTCTTGCTTATAGAACTATTGTTTTAATCCATGTGCAAATTTAATTTTTGATTAATGAACGATTGACTGCAGTTTATTTAATCTGGTGGCAAGTCCACAGCAAAACAAACTGGTGTGGAAGACTGTATTTGCAGTTAAAATTAAATCTGGATCCAAGCCAGCAATATCACGATAGTAGAAACCAAAGTGGGTGAATTTATTTATTTAATGGATTTATCATTCAAGTATATTTTCCACCAAGCAGCTTACAAACGTATATACCGTATATGCTCAAGTATAAGCCGACCCAAATATAAGCCGGGGCACCTAATTTTACCACAAAAAACTGTGAAAACTTATTGACTCGAGTATAAGCTGGTTCACCATTCCACAAATCTGGTGGTGGCGGCAGCGGCGGTGGAGGAGGAAGGAGCAGCTCGAAAGGGCTCCTTTCGGGCTGCTCGTCCCTCCACCACCGCCACCCGCCTCACTCAAGTATAAGCCAAGGGGGGCTTTTTCAGCATAAAAAAGGTGCTGAAAAAGCTGGCTTATACTCGAGTATATATGGTAAATACCATTGCGTAATAATAATAATAATAATAATAATAATAATAATAATAATAATAACAACAACACTGGGCAACAATTTTTTACTTTTTGAATGTTGTCTAGATTTCTACAACTGATTTAGGGTATTTTTGCACTGCTGAATCCGGAAATGGCATCCGTTTCTCTCCATCAGGTCAGGTTTACTGTAAACTGAATGGTGGGCATTGATCAAGGTAAGTACACGTAAATTGCATGTTGCTTCACCATTTTTCAAACTTCAGGGCTTGAACTTCTGTTTCTTGGAACTCCTGGAATGCTCAGCAGCAGGGAGGTCTCTCTTCAGAGTCCAACAGTAGTCAGCCATCATGACTGCGTCCCAGCGACCCTGATACCTGGTCTCCATCTCTTTCATGTCCTGATGGAATCTCTCCCCCTGCTCGTCACTCATTGAACCCAGGTTCTCAGGAAACCAGTCCATATGTGAAAATAGGTAGTGCATCTTGACGCTCATGTTGCAGCCCAGGTTTCTGAAAGCAGAAAGCATGTTGTTGACAAGTTCTGCGTAGTTTCTGGCCTTATTGTTGCCAAGAAAGTTCTTCACTGCCAGAACAAATGCCTTCCACGCTTCCAGTTCCACTTCGTTCACTGAGTTTCCGAACTCTGGATCTCTGATGAGCTGACGGATCTGAGGACCGTCAAAGATGCCAGCTTTCAACTTCTCCATGGTCAATCCTGGAAAAGCCTGGCACAAGTAAATGAAGCAGTCACCATCCTTGTCCAGAGCCTTGGTGAACTGCTTGATTAAGCCGAGCTTGATGTGCAGCGGTGGGAAGAGTATTCTGTCTCTGTCCACCAGAGGGTCGTTGATGACGTTCCTTTCTTTGCAAGGCACCAATTCCTCCCGCACAGGCCAGTCCTTCTTCGTGTAATGCTGAGCACGGTCCCTACTATCCCACATGCACAGAAAACATGGGTACTTGGTGAAGCCAGACTGTTGTCCCAACAAAAGTTCACCAGGTCAACACAAATAAACCACTTATGCTGATCATAACCAATTTTCTCCAGCACATACTTCACCGCTTCATAGTTCTCCTTCAGTGTACTCCGAGTGAGCCAGGGGTATAGAGGCAAACTGGTTGCCGTTGTGTAGCAGAACACATTTCAGTGATCGCTTGCTGCTGTCAATGAACAGTCTCCAATCTTTGGGTTCGTACTGTGGCACTCCAAGCTTGAGCAGAAGCTGCACAATATCTGCACAGTACACCAAGTCCTTCTCTTCCGAGAAAAAACAGAGGTACTCTTGATGCCTGTTGCGCAAGAAGCTGATGTGAGCACTGTCAGAGAGGAGGTTTTTTTCCTTCAATCTGGATGCCAACAGTTCGGCAGAGTCCTTTGACAAGCTGAGGTCATGAACTAGATCATTCAACTCCTTTTGGGAAAATGGATGTGGAGCATCATCTTCAAGAACCACTTCTTCTTCTTCTTCATGTCCTTCAACACTGGAGGCATCTTTGTCACTAATGTCAGGAAGTTCTCCGAAGATAGGCACTGGAATTTCATCACAATGAGCTACAGGACGGCGTGCTGATTGAAGATCAGGATACTTCGTGGGGCGGCTGCCTCATTAACTTAGTTTTGATTCCCCAACTTTATGCTTTGCTGGACCAATTTATGGAAGATTTTGAGGTTTTATGACTTCAAACTGATCCCTTTTTGACATAATCACCCAGAACTATCGAACCTGAATACTTCTTGTCATTAAAATAATCATTTCCAATCAAAACAATTATTTGACAAGGCATTTTACCCTCACCAACTTCTTCTAAAATGCTCCACACAAGCGTACATGTGAACAAAAACGTAAAAAAAGACATGTGGCCATAGCTCAAAAACTTGACCTGATTGAGGAAAACCAATGTGATTTTTGGATTCAGTGCATCAGATTCATCCTAAATCAGCTGAAAAAACGCAGACAACAAATTTGTTGTTGACCAGTGTAATTAATAATAATACCCCGCCCATCTGGCTGGGTTTACCCAGCCACTCTGGGCGGCTTCCAACAAAATATTAAAATACAATAGTCTGTCAAACATTAAAAGCTTCCCTAAACAGGGCTGCCTTCAGATGTTTTCTAAAAGTCTGGTAGTTGTTTTTCTCTTTGACATCTGGTGGGAGGGCATTCCACAGGGCGGGCGCCACTGCCAAGAAGGCCCTCTGCCTGGTTCCCTGTAACTTCGCTTCTCGCAGTGAGGGAACCGCCAGAAGGCACTTGGCGCTGGACCTCAGTGTCCGGGCAGAACGATGGGGGTGGAGAAGCTCCTTCAGCTATACAGTGGTACCTCGGGTTAAGTACTTAATTCGTTCTGGAGGTCCGTACTTAACCTGAAACTGTTCTTAACCTGAAGCACCACTTTAGCTAATGGGGCCTCCTGCTGCCACTGCGCCGCCGGAGCACAATTTCTGTTCTCATCCTGAAGCAAAGTTCTTAACCAGAAGCACTATTTCTGGGTTAGTGGAGTCTGTAAACTGAAGTGTATGTAACCTGAAGCGTATGTAACCCGAGGTACCACTGTACTGGACTGAGGCCATTTAGGGCTTTAAAGATCAGCATCAACACTTTGAATTGTGCCCGGAAATATACTGGGAGCCAATGTAGGTCTTTCAAGACTGGTGTCATGTGGTTTTGGCAGCTGTTCCCAGTCACCAGCCTAGCTGCTGCATTCTGGATTAGTTGTAGTTTCTGGGTCACCTTCAAATGTAGCCCCATGTAGAGCGCATTGCAGTAGTCCAAGTGGGAGATAACTAGAGTATGCACCACTCTGGCAAGACAGTCCACAGGCAGGTAGGGGCTCAGCCTGCGTACCAGATGGAGCTGGTAAACAGCTGCCCTGGACACAGAATTGACCTCCACCTCCATGTATAAATACTGTATAAAACCCTTTGAAATATCCACTTAATAACAATATGAATATCTGAACCAGCACAAAAAAATAATACACAGGTGGATGTGTGTATTATTAAAATATTATTATTTAAAATAAAAAACCACATTTTTTAATATCTCCAGTTTACTGCAGCCAGTGATAGAAAGCAGTTCGGGGGAAAACCAGCTGAGAACTGAGAAACTTAAGGCAGAAGACATTCTGAGCCCAGTTGTAATAAGATTGTTATTCAGCTGCCAGGTCTGAGGCTCCCCTCAGCCTGGCCTAAAACCTTTTCATAGCCTGGAAGATTCAAGATGCAGGGAAGACGTCCTCCCAATTGCTCACCCTCACATCCAAGAAAAGGAGTTTGTTGTATATACTGACTGAACCGTATAGCAAATCTTCACAGCAAAACGACAACAAGTTTTGTACACAGATGGGCTGGTTCGTGTGTAGTGTAAGAGGCCTTGGTAGGCCAAGGCAGTGAGTACTTTGGTTGAAAAGAAGAAAACCCCCCAGAATATTCTGCAGCTTAATCCATTTTTAATCTCTTTCTCCTAATGAAGCATGTTGGAATACGTTAGAATCCAGGATAAAGCCTGCTATGTTTGTAATTTACGATTACAGCGTCCGGACGTTCCAATTAGAAGGGTCAAGGGTGTTTGTAGTTTGTTTTTTTTAATTGCCTTCAGGTCTGAAATGTCAAAAGAGTGCAGTGTGCCTATATTTGCAGATATTAAAATTGTAAAATGCAAATGAGTTGCTGGCGGGGATGGAGGGTGGTCTTTCCTGCAGATTAGAAATCTGATAGCACCACCCACAGAAGTCCCAAATGCAAGAACAGAGGAAATAAATGAAATCCTCCCTGTTTATTTGCTGTTTTTCAGTGCTAAACTAATCATTTTTCATAACTGCCTAAGTTGAATGAGTGAGCACCTTTTACATGAATTACTGCCAGTACTTCTAACACCATTGCCTAACTTGAAAATATGAATTATATTGGTGCCTCCTGGCATTTTTTTTTTTAATCTCTGAAAAGGCAGTCAGAAAATATTTGGTTTTGAGTCCAAATTAAAACGTTTACATGTGCAGTTAAAATACCTTATTTCTTGGTGCAGCAGACATACTGTAATGCTTACTCCTTGCATGCTATGGTTTGGAACTTGCACCCATGCCATTCTCAGCAGGAAATTCCCTTTCCCTTCAGTTGCACCTTGTTTTGTGTGATACCAGCAAAGATAGGCTAACCACATTTAAGGCTGACAAGTTCTGCCCTCATCCCCACAATCTGAATTTGGTTTGCAAATCCAACCTTCTTTCTAATCACAGAACTGTAAAGTTGGAAGGGATCCTGAGAGTAATCTAGTCCAACCCCCTGCAATGCAGGAACCTTTTGTCCTATGTGGGGCTCGAACTCACGGCCTTAAGTTTAAGAGTCTCATGCTCTACCGACTGAGCTATCACTGGAGAGCTGTGCTTGGTGGCACAGCTACATTTCTAGGTGGAGCATTGAAGGGAAAGGTGCATAGCACCAGCCACAATCCTGGCCCTCAGTTCACTGGTGGAGAGGATATGAACTAGAAAGCCAGTGGAAGGGAAAGGCCGTGAACTTCACCCTCCAGAATGGGCTATATAAAGGTCATGATCATTTTTAAAAAAGGGACTTCAAGGCTACAGTGAACAAGGGGTTACCAAAAGCTGTAAAACAAACAAAATGTTCTGTGCTATTGCTAAGATACAGTGGTACCTCGGGTTACAGACACTTCAGGTTACAGACTCTGCTAACCCAGAAATAGTACTTCGGGTTAAGAACTTTGCTTCAGGATGAGAGCAGAAATCGTGCAGCGGCAGTGGGAGGCCCCATTAGCTAAAGTGGTATATCTAGTTAAGAACAGTTTCAGGTTAAGAACGGACCTCTGGAACGAATTAAGTTCTTAACCCGAGGTACCACTGTATTAAAAACTAGTGTGGAGCATCTTTGCTCAAAAAACTATGCTAATCTTGTATCACAACAGCAGCAATACAGAAAGAGGGGGGTGGTTTAGAAACAGAGCCAGTGCAAAATATAATGCAACCATAGTCAAGCGTTTAGGGAGAGCAGAGAACAGTATGCATAAAAAAACAAACTTGTCCATACTACAGTTTTAGGAAAGGGCAGAGGGTGTTTTCTTTCTAAACTCCTCCTTGAGGGTTCTTCTTTCTGGTCTTGCTACTTACCTTTAGATTTTCCCTTCCTGTTGGACAATCTAAGGAAAACTTTTCAGCTGGTTGCTCTATAAAAGACTAACTAATAGGAAACTGATTGTGGAAAACAACCGGAATTTCTTTTTCTGGTTGCTAGGTTGATTTTTCTGCCCAGAAACCATGAAAGGCCTCATGCTGAGCTTGCACACATGGGAAAAATCAGAAATTAAGCCTGAGCTACAGCCTAGGTGGCCAGTCAGCCAGGCTAACTGTAGTGTGTACAGCAGTGTATGTATTCCTCTAGGGCTGTTCCCATCCTTTGACATCAAGTACTAGAGAAAAGGTAGAAAAATAGCCTCTGATTGTGAGTATAGTGAGTGTTATGTTACCCAAACTGATCAAGACAATGTTGACCTCCCTGAGCTGCTTCTCAGGTGCTGTAGGGCAATCAGATTCTCATTGTTGGTTGGGAGAATGATAGAGATGACCTGCTTAGCAAGTAGTTGTGTGTATTCCATGGTATGTTACAATAAGGTTACCAGACGTCCCCGTTTCCCGGGGACAGTCCCCGGATTTACAAATCAGTCCCCATACAAAATCCATTGACGTTGAAAAGTGTCCCTGGATTCATTGAAAAAAAATCTGGTAACCTTATGTTACAACACAGTAAAATGTTTGTCTGTGTTCACTGGAAGGCAAAGGCTCTTGGACACATTGTGAAGTGGAGAAACCTGTTGTGGGCACCACACAACACACACACACACACACACACACACACACACATCACAATCAAACATACACCACAACTTATTCTATTGTCCTCAGTATAATGCTTCTTTCAGTCCTGACTTCAGTACAGTAGAACCTGGGTTCTCAAACTTGATCCGTTCCCGGTGTCCATTCGACTCCCAAAACAGTTTGAAAACCAAGGCATGGGTTCCGATTGGCTGCTGAATCTTCCTGCACTCAACTGGAAGCCATGTCGGACGTTGGGCTTCTGAAAAAGGTTCAAAAACTGGAACACTTCTGGTTCTCGGCGTTCAGGAGCCAAAACATCCTAGTACCAAGGCGTTCTACAACCAAGGTACAACTGTATAGGGAGGAGGCACTATGGGTGACAGGGGAGGGCCCCTGTGGGTATGCGTGCCCCCGTGGGTGCCACATCGATGACTCCTGCCCTAAGTGGAAAATGTAGTGGGAAAGATTTGCATACAATCGTGAAGCAATTTAAAAATTCCTACTTATCACAGCAGCACACAAAATACGGAAACGTTTGCGTTTCAGATGTTTCCTGGGCTTCTGCTGTTAGATAAAACAGATCCCAAAATTCCAGGGTCTTTGAAGTTGCCCGCTCACCATGTATTCAAAAACATCAGGGGTTGACCGCAGCTTTGTTTTAAAGGGACACAATTAGCTAGGAGAACAGCTGGTTGTTTAAAAATAGGAGGATGTCTGGGAATACCTCTTTTGGAAGAGAGAAAAGAAGGAATCAGGTCTATAATGCTAGCACGCTGGTGATCCATCACTGAATTGACAACTGTTCTCTTCACTACCAGAACTATCCTGATAAGAGTATAAACATGGAAGTGGCAGGTGCATATCTTCAACAGATCTTTTTTAAAAAAAATAACTGTAGAAACAACAAAACTCAAAGTTTGATCTTTTTTCAAGGGCACAACCCATCTCCTTTTTGCTTATAGGTAAGCATCGCCATGGAACTGGAGCCCTACAGAGGCACTTTCTACTTCCCTTGTGACCTAAGAGGCTCTGCATTGTGAAATAAATCGCATATACTCAATTTCTGCTTAGCTGTGGTTACTACCCTTCCTTGCAATATTCTCCTAGATTGGTTTTGAGTACCTTAAAGCATTATAATAGAGTAGTCTGGGTCAAGGGAAAGGTGCCATAGGAGAGAACTGTAGGGGAGGAATTTCCATTAAGAAGGCACACCATGGGCTTCACTAAATTCCTCAAAATTGAGATTACTTTATTTATAGGTCAGGGTGCTTACTTTATTTGTAGGAGAAAGGGAGGGGGTTCACAGATGGAAAACAAGGTTTACCTCAAGACAGACATACCCTAAACATGTTGCAACCTTTACTGCAGGGGTCACCGACCATTTTGAGCCCCTGGACACATTTGTAAACTAGAAAAACTATCATGGGCACCAGATACCTTGCAATGGACTGCTGCTTTCAATCCGCATTTCGGTCGTAGCGGGGATTGGCTGTTAGTAAGGAGGCAGGTACGTGGGGACTGGCAGAGGGCAGGCTGGCCTTGGTGGGGAAATACCCTATTCATCCTAAGGACAAGAAGAAGAGGAGTTTGGATTTTATATCCCACTTTATCACTACCCGAAGGAGTCTCAAAGCGGCTAACATTCTCCTTTCCCTTCCTCCCCCACAACAAACACTCTGTGAGGTGAGTGAGGCTGAGAGACTTCAGAGATGTGTGACTAGCCCAAGGTCACCCAGCAGCTGCATGTGGAGGAGCGGAGACGCGAACGCGGTTCACCAGATTACGAGTCCACCGCTCTTAACCACTATACCACACTGGCTCTTAGTGTATAATAACAACAACAACAACAATAGCCACAGGAAGGTAGGAATTTGCTATATTCTAGGTCAGACTGTTTGTTCATCTAGTTCAGCAGTGTGTCATTTGTCTGCTGTTGGCTCTCAAGGTTCTCAGTCACAAAGTTTTCCCATCATGTTGAGGTCAGATGGCCATCTGCCATGGATGCTTTAGTTGAGATTCCTGCATTGCGGGAGGTTGGACTAGGTGAACCTTGTGGTGCCTTCCACCTCTACCATTCTATGATTCTATGTCCCGCCTGCTCTTTTTCAAAACAACCACTAGCAATAACAGGGATTGAGCCAGGGACTTCCTTTGCATTCTTAGATGCTGAACGGTGTTCCCTGGCCATAAATGCTGGAAGTCTCTTAAAGGGATGCGAGTAAAAAACATTACATGCTCTAAATCCCTGTAAGAGTCTGCAGACCAGTTTAGATTTGGGCACCTGACAATGTTCTGTTTTGGGGACAAGCAAGGATGGTAGCAGCTGAGACCAGAGAGTTATTTCCAATGGTTAAATTAGCGGAAGGCGGCTCAATCCATCCATTTTTATTTTCACTCCTTCCCCTCTCACTGCAGCAAGAGTCCCCCATCTGAATTATTCCTCCCTTGCACTGTAGTTCTGTATGCACTGCTCAACACACCATGCTTCAGTGGAATGATTGTAGGGGTAGACTGCAGGGAAGGTAAAGGTAAAGGACCCCTGGATGGTCAAGTCCAGTCAAAGGTGATTATGGGGTGCGGCGCTCATCTCGCTTTCAGGCCGAGGGAGCCGGCGTTTGTCCATAGGCAGCTTTCCTGGTCATGTGGCCAGCATTATTAAACTGCTTCTGGCACAACAGAACACCATGACGGAAACCAGAGCACAGAGGAACACCATTTACCTTCCCGCTGCAGCACGTATTTATCTACTTGCACTGGCAGGTTTTCGAACTGCTAGGTTGGCAGGAGCTGGGACAGAGCAATGAGAGCTCACCCCGTCACAGGGATTTGAACTGCCAGCCTTCTGATTGGCAAGCCCAAGAGGCTCAGTGGTTTAGACCACAGCGCCTCCCGTGTCCCTACTGCAGGGAAGACTGCAGAGTGGAAGAGAAAGACCAATTGTGTGGGCTGCTTCTGCTTGCACAACCTCTGGATGCGACCCAAAACCTTTACTATAGTAGCCTCTAAACTCTATAACTTTCTGCTTGAGGGACACTAAAATCTACAGCGCTGTTGGAATTTAGAAGAAGTTGTAAAACTTTTGTTTCCCCCCCAGCATGTTGTTTGCTTGATTTTGTTCTGTTCTGTTGCTTCTTTGTATTATGCCGTCAGCTTTTTATTTCCACTATATTTATTCCACTTTACAGTGGTTTTTATAGTCCATATACCACTTTGAACTTTGGAAAAGCAGTTGATAAATACCTAAAAAAGATAACTGTAACTAGGGACTCCAAAAGGAATTTTGCTTTATCTTTTCCAAAAGCTGTGCTTCTATAAATTTAAACAGTATACAATTGTTGTAGGTGATAGTGGGTGATTAAAGAAAAAGAAAACGTTTGTCCATTACCAAAATATTATCAGACAGCCCAAGTTTGTCAAGTTGTCACCTGGCATGCACCCCTTTCTCTCTAATATGTCATATAAAAAGGAAAACACCACCCGGACACATGTAAGATGAGCTTTTATTTTATTTTTTTACAAAATCGGTGCTCTGGTGCTATTTTGTAAGGCA